GTTTGTAATTAATGACCAGGCTAGGGACACCTCGTTCTAATTCAGCATTTTTATTAACATAAAAAGCAGGGCAAGACCATGGAGATTTACTAGGACTAATAATTCGATTTTTTAATAATTCATTAATTTCTTTTTTACACATTTCAAGTAATTCATGATTCATTTGAATAGGCCTAGATTTAGTAGGTATGTGTCGTTCATTAAAATTTTTAATATATGGTAAAGTGACTACATGCCTTTTCCTATGCCAAAATATAGTAGGTAAAGTGGAACAAACAGTCGATTCTAATTTTAATTTGAAATCATTAATTTGAGAAATAATAACTGGATCAGTTAATTATTGGTCAAATCGTTTATAATTAATTTCTTCTTTAAGAAAATTTAAATGTCTAGTTAGACGATTAATTGTGTGATAAATAGAACAATCTTTTAATTGATTTAATTCTAGCATTTTGGGTGGAGATAAAAATTTAAATGTAACAGGTTGTCCTAAAACATGAGTGGTTATGCCGTCACTAGATATAGTAAATGGATATAGTAAATAGATAAATGGTGTTCCTAAAATAATTCTATCAGTCATATTTTTTACCAAAACAAACGAAATTTTAAAACATACATTATCTTGACAAATATGAACTTTAGGTAATTTATATTTAATATACATTTGACTACCATTAGCAGAAGTTAATTTCTCTTGACATTTTTCATAATATTTAGTAGGGAGTAATCCTTCTTGTATACAATTTAAATTAGCACCAGTATCAATTAGAGCAATTAATTCTAATTCAAAATCTTCAACAACAATTTTAATTTTTGAATACCATTTTTGAATATAAATCTTATTGATTAGATTTAATCGTTTGTCTTCAAGATTATTAGATTGAGATCGATTATTAAATAAGAGTTTATCGGGATTAGTGTGATCAGAATCATGCCCAGAATTATTGTTAGATTCATGAGGTGATGTATTGGGATTAGGTTTGAAATTATATAAATTTTGATTTAGCTGGAGAGTAATAATTTCATCTTCGAATCTTTTATCTTTATTTTGTAACTCTCGGATATTTTGTTTAATTTGGTTGATTTCAAATTGTAAATCTTGAAGTGTAATTTCTTTATTTTTATTTTTAAATCTTTCTAAAGTTTTTGATAAGCTAATAATAGGTTTATCAAACTTAGGTTTATGGTCTGAATGGAGTAATAAAGATTTTAATTTATCCATATAATTTTGTTTTAAACTAGGATCATCTAATTTGCTAATTAATTCGATTAATGCAGATTCTTCTTGATTTGATTTTGTAAGGACAGTAATTTGTTTAACTGGTTTACAGCAGACATCATTACATCCTAACGTTATATTATTATCAGAATCAGTATTGGGTGAATTATTATGAGAAGAAGTTGATGGATTACTGGAAGAGGAATCACTATCAGATTGATTTAATTGAAAAATCTCAGATATTTGATTCTTAGATTCGTCACTTATTTGTAATTGATTAACCTTATCTTTTAATTTATGTTTCTCTTTGCATTTATTTGAATAATGACCTTTTTTACCACAGTTATAACATGTTATATCTTTATTAGATTTAGATTTTTTGTAATGTTTCTTTTTATAATGTTTCTTTTTAGGTTTAGTATAAAATTTATCATTGGATTTGGAAGGTGAATAATTCTTTTTGTATTGATTAGAATATTTGGATTTATATTTATGCTTAGAATATTTATGTGATTTCCTACGAGAGGGTGCTATGAGAGGTAAACCATATTGTTCACAGAAATTTCCTAATTCATATTTAGCTTTGTGTTTATTTTTAGTGGCTTTTTGACTAAGTTTAAGGTCAATACACATTTTTAAGCCTTCTTTTTGAATAGTGCTAATTATATCACCATATATTAAATTATCATATTCAATAACACCAGTAGGTTGGCTAAGGACATTTCTAATTTTGTGAGCAAATAAACTAGGTAATCCATTAATAAATTTTTTTTTTCCAGAATGGCTTAGTACAGTCTTCTTTTAACATAACTCTAGAGGTAAACACATCTTTGTACCATCTAAAATCACTTAAGGTTGGATAAGTCAGATTACTAAGTTGATCATGTATGCGAGAATATATATTAGTTGGGGTACCAATGAAATGTCTAACAATTGTATAAATTAAGGCATTTATACCATCAGGGTGGCAACTTCCAATTGATTCATCAAAGATAGGTAAACCATTATCATCAGTTTGATTAGCATAAATTACAGATTCTCTTTGATCTTTGGTTAAATATTTTTCCCACCATGATTTGAGCATACCAGTGAAATCAGAAGTAATTAATAAAACAATTTCAGGTTGAGTGTATTGGGGATAATTGGAGAGATAACTATTGGAGACAATAGACAGATGATTTAACTTTTGGAGGATTTGATCTTCACTAAGACCATCAATATTCCATTCGTATAACTTTTTAGCAGAAACAGAAAATTGATTATTGAGGTTAGTTTCTTCAAATTGAAGATCAACAGGAGTAGGCCGAGAATACCAATTTTTTGTAGTTTGTGGATTAACTTTGGGATAATGACTTTTATGAAGATGAGAAAATTGGAATTGTTGAGTTAGTTGATTTATGTCATCATCAGTGGTTTCAGTGTCTGATTGGGCAGAAACAATTGTAGTAGTAGGTTGTTGATTTAGAACAGTAAGACCTTTATCTCTAGAAGGTGGAGTATTATCAGAGGTAGATAATTTAGTAAATAATTTTTCAATAGCTTTGATGGTGGATTTATCATTTGTAACTAAACTGGTTCGTTTGGAACGATTACTGGGTAGATTAAGTAAGGGTGGATCTAAAGGTTGTTTAGTAGATGAGCTTTGAACAGATTCTAAATTGGTTTCTATTTTGTCTAATTGTTTTCCAATTGTTTTTAAACATTGATTAGTATAATTATTTTGCTCAATAACCTTTTTAATTTTAGTATCATTACCAGGTAGTTTGAAAGGAAAAGCAGGGATGTCAAACCCTTGTTGATTAAGAATTATTTTTTTCTAAAGGAGGATGACTAGAACTAACAGAAGTAGTGTTAGAAGTTTTTCATTTATGTTTGGTTATTGTATTAATCTTTTTGTAATATTTGTCAACATATTCTAATAGAGGTAATTCAAAACCATATTCGACCATAAAATCATACCATTGTCTAGTAATTGTGGACATTTTAGTAGAATTATATTTAGCATAGTAAGCATGTCTGAGTGTTTTATTTTTAGAAGATTTAAATTCAATAAGTAATTTATCTAGATCAGGTTTGAATTCTTTTTTAATTGTCATTAATTGAGGATTAACCGGTGGTATAAATTCTTCAGAATCAGTTCGAGTTGAAGAATGATTGGAAGCAATTTCTTCTTCAGGTAAATGTGTATGTGTAGAATAAACATGTTTACTAATTTGAGAGGAAGTAGTATTATCAATACCTTTTAATTTATTTATAGAGGGTTGGCCAAGATGGATTTGACTTTTTTTTCTAAATAAAGGAGTATTAAATATTTCATCTTCAGTTTCAATTTCAATTGGAACACTAGATGTACTATGTCGAGAGGATTGACTTCGATTAAATTTAATACGAATAGAACCATCAGTGAATTGGTGAATATCTTGGATATCTTGAATTGAGGATTGTTGTTGATTGTGTTTATAATTTTCGTTGACAGTAATCCATTGATTAGGTAAATCTACATTTTTCTATTCAATCATTTGAGGAACATTAATATGGGATTCTCCAGCATTACTACTACTTTGGATTAATAGAGTTTTATCTTTGGGACTCTTATGTAAAGCATGAACATTTAAATTAATTTGCATACATTTGTAATAAACACGATATATTAATGCAACGTTATGAACTTTGTCTTTCATGTTAGTAAATGAACCATGTAACTGAATATTTAATGTTAATGCATGTAAAATATGTGGATCGTGTAAATTAAGTGTAAAATCAGAAAAATAATTGAAATGTACTGGACCTTTATGCAGACCAGTTTCCATTATACCCATTAAACTATCATTGTAATCAAGAAATCGAGCATCGCGTAAACATAATAAAACAGAGGTATTTTTTCCGACTATGGTTAATGAATTAACACCAACTTGAATTAGACCAATATGCATAAAATTGTAACCATTATTTAAATGTCTTTTAATTAATTTTGCATCAAATAATTAACAGGTTTCTCGTGATTTTTCTAAAACATAAACTTGTTCAATGGTTTTGACATGTAGAGTGATTTTAAAAACATTCTGTATAAAAGTAGTTTTATAAATTTCTTTAATTGGCAATTTAGGTATATTCCATCCTGCATCAATTTTATCATTTTGTATTTTAACATCTTCTTCATTTATTACTAACCCTTGATTTGGTATTGAGGGCAAAGTTGTTGACCTAGAACTGACTGATGAGTTACTTCTAAATAATCAATTCATTGTTTTGTTTAATTAATCAGTTTTACAAATACTTTAATACATACCTTATTCTAGTCATGTTATCACAGACCAAAATGGTTTGAGTACAGACCCTATTTGGAAGACCCCAGTGTCCTGCACTGCCTAACTCTAAGGACTTACTCTGGACAGGTAACAAAAGTGGGTTATTTAAATCAGGTGGATAAACACAGACTGATCTCTTGGATGAGTAAGATGAACTGAAAACTGGATTAATCAAATAAACAATGGAATTAAGTATTTATAAGCAACAAAGCAGTTAGAAACATGATACAATATAACATGGCTCTGATACCAAAAGGCGGAAATAGCAAGTAGAATGAAGAACATAGATTACGAAATCAAATATGATTAAAATTAAGCAACAGAACAATAGAATTAGAACAAACAACACTAATTAAAGAAAATCATTTAATAAAATTTTGTAATTTGAAATACAAAAAATAATTTACAATTACAATTATAACAACTGTAAGAATCTTAACTAATTTAACAAACGGGAAGATATAATTGGCACTTATAATCTCATAAATTATAATTTATAATTATTTTTTCACAATTATACCAAAGACTATAATTAGTTTTGAGTTCATTAGCTAGTAGCCTAGTCGTCAGCAAATCCCACTGTACTGGGGGATCTACTCACCTGTCAAAAATTTCGGCAGATGCAAAACAAGGTAAGAGGGTTTTTTTTTTTTCATACATCCTAATGTGTGCATATCTCACTTCTTCCCACCACCAGAAACATTTTTCTTTTTTTTTTTTGAACTACACTACGAGAAACATTGAACTTGAACAATATGACATCTCCGTCTTGGACCACGCATGTTTTTCCCTTCTTGTCTGTACTTCCCGGCAGCCTATGCAAGAAAAACAAAATCAAAAATGATTTATACCCTCACTGAGAATCGACACCTAGCGAGATGGAGGCTCATGATTGGGCGGAAAAAAACAATAATTTTTTTTTTTTGGTTGGCAGCCAGTGGGGGCACGCCACCTCACTGGGGGTGCGACCCCCACCGGGGGTATAAGGCAAAACCCAAACAAAATTAAGCCAAAAAACTAAAAAATAACCCAAAAGGGCTGGACTAATTAAGGAAGTAACAGCCAAGACTTAGATCTCGTTTGGAAACAGGTTAATTTAGTAATTTTTAATTATTTGATTAAAATATGACTTAAAAAAAATTAATATGCTTAGAATGATTTTTTAATTTTTTACGAAAAGATGTGCAAAAAGTAGAAAGAAAAGAGAATCTTTGACTTTTTAATATGAATTATTAGCTTTTTGACTAATTTAGTAACTTTTTGACTAAAATAGAGGGTTCCCAAACGAGACCTTAATTCTTATTTGACAACATACTATTTTAATAATTTTTTATTTTTTTAATTAAAATATGAGGAGAAAAAAATTTATATGTTTGTAATAATTTTCTAATTTTTTACGAAAGAATGTGTAAAAAGTAAAAAAAAAAAAATAATTTTTTTACTTTTTAACATAAATTACAGACTTTTTATTTTTTTAATATTTTTTTTGACTTTTAGAGTAAAATACTCGCATACCAAACATGCCTAAAGAGAAGGAATTGACAATGAATTGACGAAGGTATAATAGTACTAATGAAGCTTGGCTCATTTTTTTTTCAGTCTTTTTTCTTTGATGAACTTTTTCTTTTTAAAATTATATCAAACTTTTTACTTCTTAAGATGGTCTATAGGCTAAACCACCATGAAAAAAAAAGGCAAAATTAAATCGAAAAGCCTATAAAAAATTGATTTATTTTTGTCTTTATTGAACTTTTAAATAATAATAATAATAAAAACAATAATAATAGTTAAGATTGTCTAATTTAGAAGTAACTATTTTGACTCAAGTTGAAAAAGAAAATAGAAAAGGGGTTAAATAATCTGCAAATTCATGGTCGAACAAATGGTGCAGGTCATTAAAAATGTAACCAATATTTTAGTGAAGTACATTGAATTAAAGCATACCTTAACAGCCGGTTCACTTCCAAGTTCCTTTAGATCTTCAAATTTCATCACCTGGTTATCATCACAAATTCAAAGTCAGCACTTTCTAGCAGTTCAACTGACAAACAATATTATTTGGTGTTTTTAAGATGATAACAAGGAATTCAATTTTTAAGAAGAAAAAATCACCACTGGATTATTCACTTTGAAACATTTTAAGGATAGCAATACGTTACAATCAGGTTGATTTTATTCCAAGGAAAGTTTTTCAAGTAGCTCATTGGAAAACATATTATGTAAACATATTGGAAGATTTTTCTAGATGTCAATTTTGAATCCTCATAAATAAACAACAGAAAGTAAAGAATAAAAAATAAAAATAAAAAATCAATGAACTGCCAATGCAACTTCTTAAAATATCATGAAAGAGAAAAAAAACCAATAAGACAACAAAATGTAGACAGTTTAAAAGAGGAAAAAAATGGTTCAAGGAATTACCTCAGCACAGATGGACCCTTTCTCAAAATCAGTATGAGTCCAGCAGCCTGAGGAGCCTTTGTCTGCCGTTGAATTTGCCAACATTTCACCTGCAAAAAAGAAAAAAAAGAAAAAAGAAGTTAAAACTGTCACATTCATTCAGTCATAAAATCATGAAAACAGTGTGTTAAGTCAGTAATAATTGAAAAGACATATCCGTGCAAGTGCAAGAAGCATTATCAGTATAAAAAAAATCCCAGACCAAATATGGTGCTTTTGTCAAAAATAAGTCACCCAAGATAGATAAAGGATACATCCACAAGTAGAGAAAAGTTGTACAAGGACAACTAAGATTGGACCATAAATTTGAGAAGTAATTTGCAAAAGGAAACAAAAAGAGAAGGGGAAAGTTAAAAAAAAAAAGAAGAGAAAAAGAAGAAATTTATATTTCATTCACTTTTCTTTCCTTTCCTTATTCATGTTCGACGAGAATTGATTTAGACAGGCATAACTTAGCACTCTCTCTTTTCTCTTATTATAAAGTGAAAACAAAAAGTTAATATTTATATAACAAAAATAGCAAAAACAAAATTATAATTTTAATCGTACATTGAGCTTGAAGATGATTAATGAAAAAAACACAACTGCCCCTGTAAGAATTGATTCTGTTTCGCACATCCATGCATCCATATATATGTGTGCGTGTGTATACAGGGTAGTTTTAATAATATTTAGCATCACAATTTTCTCAACATGAATTCCAACGATAATCACTAGTAAGGAAAGAAAAAACAGAAAATATGAAAAACAAATAAAGCAAGTATATTTAGAAGGTACTTACCCAAAAAAAAAAAAAGTGTATTTAGAAGGTCACTTCTCTGTCACGTTCTAACCAATTAAGATACAATGATGATTGAAAATTATAAATCAAGGAATAATTAAAAAACAATTGTTTATTAAAAATGAAATAAACCATTTTAAATTGGTCATTAACCTCTCTCAATTCATTTGAACCTAATAAATATACTATTTTTCTCTTCATTTCATAATTAGACTATTAAATTGATGAAATTAAAATTACAGGAACCAAATTAATATTAGAGACAAATTACAAGAATTATAAATATAATTTATTCTTATATTTTTAGATTTTTTTTACTTTATAAAAAAAAAAGACTTGCACCAAATATTTTAGTATAAATTTTAAAATAAATAAAATAAAATTATAGTACAAAATCAGGCTATTGATGATTTCCAAAGTTGTGTGACACTATAGCCATAGCTAGAGGTGAAGAGAGTGAGGACAAAATAGAATGGAGGAAGGAGATTTTAAAGACTAGAGCATTCCTAGTCTTCCACACAATTTGGCTCGAAAGAGTCATGTAAGATGCGTTAGAATGATTCTGAACGAACTCACAAGTCCAACAAATGACATAGGTGATTTTACTGTCGGATCATTTTAATATTATTTATTTATTTATTTATTTTTTATGTGACTTTTTTGATTTTGTTCATAAATTTTATTTTGTTTGGTGAATAGAGATTTATTATTTTTTAGTGACCTTTTGTCTTGTTCATGAATGGAGATTAATTGGAAGTTCATGGACTTAGTGCCGAGTTAATATTTAGACTCTCTTTTTTCTCTAGTTTAATGGTCATTATTTTTTTGGTGTAATTTGTAAGATTCTAATGGCCTATAAATAGTTCCTCTCATCTACTCTTTTCTACACCAACTATTTTTTATACTTGAGAGATTACTAGCCAAAGAATGGTGTTTTTTCTTGGTGGAGCTTTGGGTTCGCCATTTTGTGCAGAGTTGGCCTAAACCATACGACAAGTGGTCGGACTGTTGTATCATGGAGGGGACAAGCCATAGTTTCGTGACTGCTGCATCGGTATTTGTGTTCTTCCTATCGCAATGGGCTTGATCTCTTTAAAGAAAATGAAATATCCGTGCCTCAGCCTAATCTATTTGTATCTCATTTTTTTTCTTGCATTTCTTATCAATAAAATATAATTTTTCTGGTATTTTCACCAACAATTTTAAGGAGATCAACATGGAACAAGTACCAGAACAAACTAATAATGAATTGGAGATCTCAACAAACCTTTCAAGTTCCAGGGAGTTCATTTTAAGAGATGAAAATGAAAAGTTCTTTTTTACCTCATCTTTTTGAAAGGTGCTTCTATTTTTACTGAGAAAAATCCAAACAAAATCCCAACTGAGGAGATGAATGATGAAGACTATGAGGCACATTGTAGACACCTCATTTTTGATCGTCCTCAATACTTGGACGTCATCGTTTGAACACTCGATAATCATCTATGCTCGTGTTCGTTTTGAGTTCCCGAAGGTCTCGGCTGTACGCCTTGCCTTAGGATCTCTCAACTTGTCTGTTTTGCGCTTGGTTGTGGACCAAGGACTTGTGGTTTTGCTTCTGAGGGAAGAGGGTGGCTTGTTGTCCATCCCCTCAACCCATCGGCTAAGGCATGATGCCATTGGCCATGTTTTCTTGCCATCAGCCAAAAGTGGTGGTCGATCGGCACTTTTTTTGGTCGATCAACACTTTGTTTGGTCGATCGGCCATATTTTTGAGCCAAGACCTTTCCATCTGCTTTTTGTAAATATTTTTCTACCAGCTGTGACAGCTGGTACGCACAATTCCCATCCTCCATACACGTGCATGGAGGGATTTGCTTCAAGACTCAAGCTTGTTGAACAAGCTTGAGAATTGAATTTCTATAAGAAGGGAACCTCCCCTCCCTTTCCAGAGGTTCTGAAAATTGCATACACAAGTTCTATATCTCTCTCTCTTTCTCTCTCTCTCTCTCTCTATATATATATTTTACCTCTCTCTCTTGTTTTGCCTTTGTTTGTGCCCAAAAGTGTGGTTTTTTCATACTATTGCACACAACCACCTAGCAATACACCATTCTTTTGTTGCTGAGGTACTAGGGAGTTGGTTTTGGTATTCTTGGGTTGGTTTGAACTCAGAAAAATTGCTGGAGTTGTGCTCTTGAAGGTGTTCTTCAAGGGTGAGTAAACTACCTTTTAATCCCCCATTATTGCTTAAGCTTTTAGACCTACTTGCATATTGTTTTAAGCTTAGCACTAAACTGTAAAAAGTTCTGATTTTGCATGCTTGTGAAGTTTGTTTAAGGTCACTTTTTGGTTGGGGGTTGTCTACCCCCTTTTAGGCCTTGTTTGGCCTTATTTTGTGCCTTTCTTTTTGGGCTTTCGAACCATCTTGTTTTGACCTTCTCACCACTGAAATCCAAAGGATTTTCAGTGGTGGAGAAGTGGTTTTGGAGTCTTGAATAGGAGAGGGAAACCCCCATCTCCTTGTGTCTTATTTGCTAGTATAAATGGCTTATATTGGTTGTATGTTTGCTTAGCATGTTTTGGTTTCATTTCAGCAAGTATTTGGTGTTATTTGGCCATGCTATACCTCTATTTTAAGTTGGTTTGATAGCTTCTTACACTTGTCTTGCAATCCTCTCATTTGTCTTAACATGCATCATGCATTTGGACCATCATGCTTACATATTTTGGCTCAACTCAAAGGAACTTTTAGCCATGTTTTACCATGTTTAAGCTCTGTTTGGTGTTATTTTAGTCATGCATGCATTGTTTTGTATAGCCTTGGTTCAATCTAGCTTGTTGGCTTTGAGTGTCCAAGTCATTAGCATGCATAGCTTTGACCATTTTCATGATTTGGCATCATTTCATATGTAATTTTAGTCCATATAGAATGGTTATACACTTGCACTTGTCACTCCTTTAATGCTTTAAATAGTTGATGTTTTATGCCTCATGAATAGATCATTGTGCATGCTTCCATGTTTAGGTCTTTGGGATGTCATTTGAGTGGGTTTTTGGGCTTATTTGGACATGCCATAACTTTGTTTTTCATTGGTTAAGTCATGCCATGTTTGGTTGTAATAGGTGTAGTGTAACACCTCTTTGTTAGCCTTGCATGCTTCATGCTTTTGGTCTTTTGTTCTAGCTTGTGGTGGCTAGGTTTGAGCATGCTTTTGGTCTTGTATTGACCTGCCTTGGGACTGTTTTGGTTGCCCTTGGCCCTTCGGGGCTTGCCTTACATGGCCATGGTTTAAGTCCCTTTGTTAGTTTCATACTCTGAGCTTTCTTGCATGCTATCTTTATGTTAGGTGAGTGGTTTGGCACCATTCCATGCATGATTTCAGGGCCTATAGTATTATCATACATTCATGCTTGTCACTTCTTGCTCATGTTTGAGAGTTGTGTCCTTATGCCTAAGTGATAGGCCAATTGGTATGCATGCTTATTTTGCATTTCATTCCATCATTTCTTGGTACTTTGGCCACTGATATGGGCATGGCTGAGGTCTGCCCATTTTGGTTTAAGTCCATCTTTGCATGTTGTTGCATGCTTGACATGTTGCATGTTGTTGCATGCATGCTAGTTTCCATGTCGTTGCATGTTAGTCCATCTTTACATACCATGCATGTTTGTATGTTTAGGTTGCATTTTTCATGCTTGTTAGTTTCCATTTTGTCACATGCTTGTTTAGGTTGCATTGCATTTGGCATGCTTGTTACCTTAGCCTTGTGTGCATGTTTGAGTCATATTGCATTTGGCATGCTTATGTTGCATTGCATAGCTTTTCCGTGTTGCATGCATTGCATTATGTTTGGTTTAGGTTGTCAAACCAAACACGAGGACCGAGAGACGTTTCGTACTTGGAATGACGAAACGTGCCTCAATTCTCGGTTGCCAACACTCTTGATCCAACATGATAGAGTGTAAGACATTCATGTGTTTTTGTGCATTCATTCCATATTGATTTGTGCAATTTGGCCTCTTTGGCCATCATGCATTGAAATGCGTGATTGATGGCTCGAGAGTTGAACACTACACTCCTTTGAGTCTCAAACATCATAAGGGGTGTAATTGCATAACATTTTCTTGCAAATGTATTGCCATGCTGCAGCAACAGGAGCAGTCTGTAGGAAGAGATGGCCGATCGGCTATCTTCAGTGCCGATTGGCTAACATTGCTTGGCCGATAGCCTCATAAGTGGTCAATGGCCCTTATACTTTGGCCGATGGCCTCTCACAGTGTTCATGAAGTGGTCCAGAATCATCACAGAGATTTTCACAGTTTTCAGAGGTGCATAAGCGTGCAAACAAAGGCAACATGGGGCATGGCAACGGATTTCCGAGCGAAGCCGACCGAGCATGCATATGTCCCTCTTCTCGAGGCAGATTTAACTTTTTTTGTAACTTAATTAATTTTCTTAATTAGTTAAGAATTTTGTAATAATTAATTAGCTAGGGTAGCTAATTAATTAGTTGATTTGTATTATTTATTCGGACCCTCCGTCGAGAGGGCACAATTGTGTAATAAGTGTG